TGTTCCCAAGGATGTATCTCTTGAAAGTAATGTCTGTTCTGGCTAGAAAGTATTAAGTCCAGCTAAGCTCAACCGTCAATCATTTGATAGACAATTGAAAAAGTATTTTAAAAATGCCTTATATCAACAATAACAACATACTGGCTCATAGCCAGGGTATGTTGGGTCTTTTACTTAAAAGTGTGTGATTCCACAGAGGAACTGATTGAGGATTCAGATTTAAATCTTACTTTAAATTGGCCAAAGGACCCTCATAATGTTTGCAAAAGCTCTATTAGGCATATTGTTAGATGCCAAAGTCCTAAAGCTTTGTATATTGTAACAGAGAAATAGTTTATGAAGAAATGTTAGCTTTTTTTAAATGTTCTTCATTTTATGCATGTTTTTGTGTGTTAAACTTTACTATCTCGTGACATAGCTCCGACTCCGTTCTTTGGCTGCATAAAAGCGTTCGCAACTTCGATCAAACTGTGTCTTTTAACCAGAAATAAAAGCACTAAATATTAATAATAGTATGTGGAACCTACCTTTTCCGCAATTAGGGCAAAACTTGTCCAGGTTTTCGATTTGATGTCCACAGTTGGAACAGAACATAGTTGTAGCTTTTGATTTCTATGGCGGAGATATAATCAACCGCTGACCGTATTAAGTGCATGTACTTATCCCCATGATGCACTTCGAGAAAACGCGGCCCAGCCTCTGCGCGCCTTGTTTTGGCCGCTTTCCTTTTCGCCGTGAAAGCTTTCCTTTTCGCCGTGAAAGCTTTCCTTTTCGCCGTGAAAGCTTTCCTTTTCGCCGTGAAAGCTTTCCTTTTCGCCGTGAAAGTTTCGCTTTTCGCCGTGAAAGCTTTCCTTTTCGCCGTGAAAGTTTCGCTTTTCGCCGTGAAAGCTTTCCTTTTCGCCGTGAAGAATTCTACTTCGCCGTAATGAATTCTACTTCGCCGTGAAGAATTCTATTTAGCCGCGGTGAATTCTATTTAGCCGCGGTGAATTCGTTTTAGCCGTGCCCTATTTGCTTTCGCCGTGATAGTTGTGGGCCACCGTAGATATCGTATTGATAACATAACAAAATACGAATAAGAAACTTAGTACTTGACTTGCGTTCCGGTTTTAAAGAAATACATCTCGTAGATTTGTCGATAATTTTGGGATAAATGAAGTTTAAGCTGAGTTTTTAACTGTAAATCGTCTTGTCATAAGATGAGAACTTTCTTTCTTCTTTTAGTTCATTTCTGTTTTGGTTTCTTTGAGAGAAGCGTAATCCAAGAGAGTTTAGCTAAAGGCGAAAGTTTAAAACGAAGTAACACCCTTATGCGTTTTATTTTAGTCCATATGAAAGAGAAGTATGGAAGCAAAACCTAATATTAATTAGAGGCTCTAGGGCTTGAAATTACAAAGTAATTGTAAAGTACTTATACTTCTTGTATTAATCCCAACGATTTTTGCTGATTACAAAATCATGAAATATGACTTTAACAGCTGTGGACTTACCTTTACCTCTTGATATATTCTTAAATTATTTTTTCCCCTTTTACTTAAAATATAAAATAAAACTTGGAGAAGTGCGGGAGTAGGCGATTGAAATCAGTAGTTATATTGTTTGTGTTCAAAAGCTGGTTTGCCTCTTTGTATGTTGTGAATAATAACTTTTTTTATAAGRAAAGCCAACTGAACAGGTGTACAATTAATTCTTACTCAAATTCATCAGGCATATCACGGTCATGTCTTTAATTAATTGTCTCCAAGCGATAAAAATTTAGGAGCCAGTGWTATTTATTTTCGTACAAGTCCTTAAATTTCACGTATATACAACTGAGCCTTCAACTTATTCCGGATTTTKTTAGCTAGACACTGATCCGATTTATAATTGATACGAACGCGCTTCCCCCATCGTAAGCCGGATTTCTTTTCACAAATAAGACGAAGAATAAATATGTGATTTTAAGTTGTTCTTAACTCACATCGATTAATCATAGTTCACTWAGAAATATTGGCGTCTCCAAGCCCAAAAAAGCGAAGTTTCACGTACAAATGAATTGAACAAAATTACATTGCGCCAAGGTCAACTAAACGAGAATTATGTCAGTGGCGATTGACAGTTTTTGTGATAAGAATTGCTGTGTTGTGACATAAAAGTGATCATTTTAATATAAAAAAATGGTACTTTCTTAATTTTAATTTTTACATTTTCCGTAGTGTACTAAATACTTTCATAACATTCAGCGCTAAGACTAYGTAGCAATGAGATATTTCTTGTCTTTTTTTCAATCTTCGTTTCCTTTCTTGTGTCATGTCTTGTCTTGTCTTCTCATTCTCTTCTTCTCRTTCTCTTTTCGTCACT